CCAACCCTACCCCTAAACCTACCCCTCACAGGAGACTTTGTGCATATTTAGATTTTCAAAAAAATAAAGCTAAAGCTAATAAAGAGCGCAGTATCGGTGCATCCCTACTTCTCGCTGATGCTGCACATTATAACCGGACTACAGTGAAATGAAACCATGAAATCCACAGTGAAATGACACTTCCTCTGATTAAAGAGAATCCTGAAAGATATGGTGATGGTGGCTTTATCAGCCAGCTCTAGTGGGTTTTATTTATTGGCTAAATGTGAAAAGCATGTATTGATCTGAAGCCAGGACTGAGCTCAGTTCACATGTTATTGATCCACGTGTTTTGGAGCAAAAATGATCAGTCACCGATCCGTTTGCATTGTGAACAGATAGAGTCTGCAGCATCTACATATATTAGCATGCTGTGATGTAGACCATGTGATGTAGTGTTTGTCCTACACCCCTCTGAGCTTGTCATGGCTCTTGATTCTGTTGGATCAGTCTAGTGGCCAGTGTCCCTGTGCAACAGCAGTTTCGACACCACAGTGACACATTCCTTTAAAGGAGACGTATTATGCCCCTTTCTACAATATGTAATATAAGTCTCTGGTGTCCCCAGAATGTGTCTGTGAAGTTTCAGCTCAAAATACTCCACAGATCAATTATTATATCATTTTGAAAATGCCTATTTTGAGTGGAAGCAGAAACACTGTTTTTCGGGCCTGTCTCTTTAAATGCAAATGAGCTGCTGCTCCCCGCCCCCTTTTCCAGAATAGAGCTGTGCCTTTACAGCTCGGACCTGCTAAACACATCTGTTTTGGTTCTGATTATCATGTTTATCTCACTGAAATCATGCGTTTTAAAGCATATGAGTTTAAACTTCTGATATAGGGTTTTCTGAGCGCACACATCCGAAGCACACACACAGAAAGCGGCTGTCTCAGCATGCGAGCACTAAACAAAGCTCTCATTCACACACAAGTTTACGTTAAACACACACGAGTTACAAAAACAGTGGGTTATGTCTGTGAAGGTAAACAGCTGGGAAATAAATCACATGTTTATTTTAGATCTGTGTGGCAGCAGCAATATACAGTAAATAAATCAATAAATGCACTGCTCTGTCGTCTCCTCTGAGGCTGGGACTCTAAACAGTGTTCTGTGCTCGTCTGTGCAGCCAAACACTGAACAGTTAGCATGCTTCGCTCAAACTTTCTCCATGGCATTAGAGCTGCTACACCGTTGTCGCTTGCGAAATCAAATGACGGTGCCGTGGGTGTAAACTTACAGATTAAGGGGCGGTGATATTATAATGAGATCCCTTTGCCACGTCACCGAGGGAGTGAAATCAGACGCTGGTTTTCTCAGACGCTTGCAGAAAAAGACTTCCCAAAACAAAGTTACTGGGTTCATCTTTTTCACGTTTCCTTGGTTGGTAGATGCACCGGGGACCTGATTATAGCACTTAACACCTGGAGAAGTCAGATTTTCATGATACGTCACCTTTAAAAATTAAAATAAAGTTCAATTAAGTTTTCATGTTGTTAATGCTCTTCGAGTACAGATGCTCTTCAGTCAGAGGAACGGTCTTCCTCATGCTCCGTTCTTATTTCATCGTTTCTGTCCGTCCAGACTGTATCTGATCAACTCCTCCGTGGTTCGTGCTGAGAACCTGTGCTTCAGAGAAGAGGGGGTGCGAGACGTGCTCAAAGACGTCCTCCTGCCCTGGTACAACGCCTACCGCTTCCTGGTGCAGAACGTCCAGAGACCGCAGAAGGTACGTGATCTGCTGTAACACTGAAGCTCAGGCAGCACAGCACTTTTAGTTTAGTTTTGTTTTTATGGCATCAGCAGCAAAAAAAGGTAACACTTTATTTTAGGGTCTCTTATCTAGTTGCTTATTAGCATGCATATTACTAGAACATTAGCTATTTATTAGTACTAATTATGCACATATTAATGCCTTATTCTACATCCCTAATCCTACCCAATACCTAAACTTAACAACTACCTTACTAACTATTAATAAGCAGCAAATTAGGAATTTATCGAGGGAAAAGTCGTAGTTAATAGTGAATAAGTGTTCCCTATTCTAAAGTGTTACCCAAAAAAAAAACATGAAATCTGACATTTTCAAACTTGACCCAAACTGCATTCATATGCAGTTTACCGTACCATGCTTGAGGTCAGTGCGTTTTTTTGTTAACGAAATTATTTTATTCATCAAGGATGCATTAAATGGATCAAAAGTGACAGCAAAGAACTTTATAATGTTACAAACGATTTAAATAAAATGCTGTTTTTTAACTTTCTATTCATCAAAGAATCCTGAAAAATAAAATGTATGACAGTTTCCACAAAATATGAAGCAGCACAAATCAGAAATGTTTCTTGAGCAGCAAATCAGCATATTAGAATGATTTCTGTTCAGCTTTGACATCACGGGGGGAAAAAAAATCACATTTTAAAATATATTAAAAGAGAAAAGTTATTTTCTTTTTTTAATCCAATGCATTTAACCTTGGTAAATATTCATGCAAAGGCATTTAGTAAAATTCATATTTTAAAACCTTTCAATATTTTACCATTGCCTAACATATCAGAGTTAAAGAACTTGAAGTAAATAGGTTCATCGGTCAAAAAGCCTCCCGCTCACATCCTCATGAGTTCAGCAGCCCTGAAGATGAGCAGAGCCAAAGATTCGTCCTTCCTTTCTACTTACTGACCGCAGCTCTGACTGACTGTCTTCTCGAGTGCTACTTTCTAAAACATTACCATGAAATTGATGTCATTATCAAGATCAGGCATGCTGCAGGTCATTTGACACGTCGTATTTGAATTGAATGCACGCTCAAATGAGGTTTGACAACTAGAAATGAGGAGAGGACTTTCAGTGAATAAGAACATTAATATTCCCCTTGAGAGTCAGTAGAGTAGATGTCTAGCAGTGCTCAGTGCTTGACATCAGCCTCTCTTCCAGTATGCAGAGATGAAGCACGCAGATATAGACAGTAGAGCTCACTCACTCACGTCTGTCTGCACTCTGCACTCATTAGGAAGAGGCCGTGGAGTTCCTGTACAACGAGAGCACCGCCAGCGTGAGCGACAACATCATGGACAAATGGATCCAGTCTTTCACTGAGTCACTCATTCAGTTCTTCAGAGATGAGATGGGAGGTGAGCCACCAGCGGTTACTCTCATGCCAATTTATGTGTAGCTCCTACACTTGAAGTGCTTTGAGAACAAGGCCAGTCTGAAATAGATCTGTTTTTCAGCCTACAGGCTCTATACGGTGGTTCCCAAGCTTGTCAAGTTCGTGGATATGCTCAACAACTGGTATGTGCGGATGAACCGCAGGCGACTGAAGGTGGGCGACATATGAGTCATACACAGTCACGAACATCAGGCCAATCTCACCAAACCTGTCACAAATATCCTGCTCATGTTTCACATTTCAAAAAGCAATATGCCTCTGCTTGTAATCCTTCAGTGACCCACACTGAGAACCATTATAAAGACCATACTGTCACTTTTTAAAGATATTTCATCCCTGAATGTCATTGATTCATATTGTGCTAAATGCACTTTGAAATTTACACTAAATCAGTGCTTGGACCATTTATGAAAGAAAGATGGGCATAATGAAAGAAAACCATTCTAAATTCACGAATTTGTATTAGGACACAATGTATAAGAAGTGGATGTGTTTTATCTGGTGTGAGCTTTTGCTATGATTGAAAGAAAACGTTGAATAGCTTGGGCTCAATTTCTGGCCAAAGGTGTGTTTTCTCCTGGGTCATTACAGTTGCTAACGATGAACAGTGCACATCTTAAAGCTGCAATTTTGGTGTATTTTACAAATATAAATCCCCTTTATTTTCACGAAGAATCACCTGCACTGAATCTGCCCTAAATGCATTATTCACACAGTTCACTGAATGCATTTGCTGAAAAATAAAATGGTAATGATGCAAAAATATAATGGAAGTACCCAACCACTCCACAAATGGCTTTTATTTGGAAATGTATTTTTGAATTTGCATTGCAAATTGCATCTCAATGCAGCAAAACTAGATTGAAGTGTAGAAATGTTGCACACTTTCCTTGAATCATGATGGAGGCAATCTGCTGTTCACTTCCAATACAGATTGAGCGTCACAGATGCTATTAATATATTAGTGCTCTGGCGACTGAGACAACAGCTGCAGACAAATGTGTCCCTGCAGCACAAAAGCAGTGTTAAGTCGCTGGGGGATATTTGTAGCAATAGCCAACAATACATTGTATGGGTCACAATTATACATTTCTCTTTTATGCCAAAAATCATTAGGATATTAAGTAAAGATCATGTTCCATGAAGATATTTTGTACATTTCCTACCGTAAATATATCAAAACTTAATGTTTGATTAGTAATATGCATTGCTAAGAACTTCATTTGGACAACTTTAAAGATGATTTTCTCAATATTTAGATTTTTTTGCACCCTCAGATTCCAGATTTTCAAATAGTTGTATCTCAGCCAAATATTGTCCTATCCCAACAAACCATACATCAATAGAAAGATCATTTATTCAGCTTTCAGATGATGCATAAATCTCAATTTAAAAAAATGGACCCTTATGACTGGTTTTGTGCTCCAGGGTCACAAATCACGTGTCCAAGTCTCTGTTGCTGTGTTTGTGCAGCTCTAGAGCTCCCCTTGCTGGCCTGGAGCTCAGGGTGTGTGTGTGTAGATCTGAGTGCAAACATCTGCATCACTGTCAACACGGGTCGTGCAGTGAGTGTGTGTGAGCAGATGCTCAACCTGTGTCCTTCATCTCCAGCCCCTGCTGCAATGATTTATGGGTGGGCTGGGCCTCCGAGCTAAAATTAGCCTCTCTGTGTCTGCCACGCTCGATTGTTAAACGTCCCCGTGGAGAAAGCAAGGGGCGGCACACTCCACACGCCTGCCATTAATCAGAGCAAATATATTCATGAGAAAGTTGTTAATGGACCCTTATGACTGGTTTTGTGCTCCAGGGTCACAAATCACGTGTCCAAGTCTCTGTTGCTGTCTTTGTGCAGCTCTAGAGCTCCCCCTGCTGGCCTGGAGCTCAGGGTGTGTGTGTGTAGATCTGAGCGCAAACATCTGCATCACTGTCAACACGGGTCGTGCAGTGAGTGTGTGTGAGCAGATGCTCAGCCTGTGTCCTTCATCTCCAGCCCCTGCTGCAATGATTTATGGGTGGGCTGGGCCTCCGAGCTAAAATTAGCCTCTCTGTGTCTGCCACGCTCGATTGTTAAACGTCCCCGTGGAGAAAGCAAGGGGCGGCACACTCCACACGCCTGCCATTAATCAGAGCAAATATATTCATGAGAAAGTTGTTCAGAGCAGATGATGAAACAGGATGTTTTTTTAGGTGCAGATATTTGAATGCATTCATTATCCATCAGAAACTGAGACGGTTTACTGATGTACATCAGCGTATAAGCGTGACTGTGTGTCTTTCTGACATAATGCTCTTAAACTGATGAATTTGTTGGTGAGACGGAGAGAGTTGAAAGCATGCTCTCGGTGTGCTTCATTAGATGCCATGTTTTATTCAGATGACTTTGTCGCTTCTGTGGCTCGCGTCACAGTGGAGGCACAAACTGAGCTTCTTTTTATTCTGCTCTCACAATGTGAGAAACACAACAGACACCGCAGTCACCTGATTTAATGAACAGCCTCCCACTTTAAGACACTGAAGACAAGCTCTCGGTCACGCCTCTCGCTTTGAACATGTGCTGGAAATGTGCTCACCCTCAGGACATCCAAGATGAGTTTGTTTCTTCATCAGGTTTGTAGAAATGTAGCATTGCATCAGTGTCCACAATTATCCACAGCACTCCAGTCCATCAGTTAAACTCAAATGCATTGAGTCCATAATCCATAATAACTCTTCCTGCAGTGAAAATGTGCATCTGCTGTTGTCTCTCACATCAAAATCCTGACACTTATTAGTTTAGAGCTGTTTAAACGCTGCTTGATCTGTGCAGATTTCTCTCCTGATTCACACCAGAACACTTTTTCACTGGACATTATGGACTTGTATTTTAGTTAGAAGCGTCTTAATGCTGGATTAGTTTCAGCTTTTGTCTTCTCCAGATGTTAACTGATGGACTGGAGTGCTGTGGATTACTTGTGGATTATTGTGATGTTTTTATCAGCTCTCATTCTGACGGCACCCATTCACTGCAGAGCATCCGTTGCTGAGACACTGATGCAGTGCTACATTTCTCCAAACCTGATGAAGACACAAACTCATCCTGATCTGGGATGCCCCGAGGATGAGCACATTTCCATCAGATATCTATCCCTGCTCGTGCCTGTGAGTGTCCTGTACTGAGGGGATGAAGTGCTGTCAGAGGTCAATGATGAAGTGTCATGTTTCTAGCAGTAGAAGGATTGACATCTTGCTGTGTCTTTCTCAAAATGGTGTGACTTTTTGACTTTTTTTTTCCATCAGGAGCTGAAAGTTCGCCAGCTCACTCTGTCCACCGACAAGGACAAATACGGCATTCGTCTGCGAGCTGAACCTGATCACATGGTGCTGGGCAAACGGCTGAAAGGGGCATTTAAATCTGTTACTGCATCCATCAAAGAGCTGGAGAACTTCCAGAGGACAGGCATGTACCGCATTCACACACGAATCCCCCAGAAATCATCATTCTGCCGTCAGGTACTCCCCTCGTGTCATTCACACCTGCATGACTTTCATTCTCTGCCAAACACAAAAGGAGAATTATTGAAAACTGTGATGAAGGTAAATGCAGACCGGGGCTCGCAAGATTCAAAAAGAGCAGAAAAGAATCAGCAACGCTAATGTCCACGTCTTCTCATCAGTTACACACAGTATAACTGACAGTGATATAGTTGTGTTCCTCAATGTGCAGCACGTAAATATGCCAAAAAAATGGTTTTGGCATCTAGTGAGGATTTTAGAGTAGCAAGAATTATCATTGAGAATTACAGTCAGCTATAAGTCAGCCATCTGGAAGCATTGCGGGGAAATGCGTTACTCGGGGCCCTATGATTTTTACAGCGCAGGAATTGTGGACATGATATCAGCTTTTCTTCCACAGCCGCGGCTGTTTTGTGGCTCTGAAGCGGGCGGTGGTTTTTCGGCGCGTCGGAGGGAGAGAGGCGCTCAAGCAGCCTGGTAAATCTCAGATGAGTGCAGTGATCTGATAGTCGTGTTCGTCGCTCCCCTTTCTGCAGCATTTCATGCCTCTCATACGTGACACTGATGCTGTAATGAGCAGAACGCTGGATAAGACTGGGACATTGTGCTGCAACAGCTGAGATGTGTGGGTTACTGGAGACGTCTGTGTGTCCAGGAGCATCACTCTGTTATCCAGAGACGGAGAACCATGTGAACCTGCACACAATCCTGTACTGATTTAGCAATGGAAAGTTCTTTATTAGTACCATAAAATACCCAAGGTGATGTGCTGCCATTTCTTAGGTTAGTCTTGCAAAACGGGTCATTTTTCTCCTTAAAGTCAAAAGAAAGATTTTTTTTTTTTGACCATTATGATTTTATTTTTGCATTATTTATTTATTTGACATGTTTACATGTTTGTCACAAATTCTAATTACTGTCCAAAACAGAAACAATGATATTTGTAAATGATGATTCAAGCTAAATATTTTTTATTTATTACATTTTTTTCTTTTAAATTATTTTTATTTTGGTGATCAGACATGTTTTTCAATTGTATAAAATAATAATTTAGAAAAAAAAAGTGTGATTTGTGGACCTCAAAGTCTTTTTGATCTGGACATTAATAATTATAAAATTATATAATCATTAGAATTCAGTATATATTTTTTTAATTTTCTGGATTTTACTTTAATAGTTAGATTAAATTTTAGTAATCAAAAAGCAAGTCTAATTAATTAGAGTAAGAAATGTTTACACTTTAACAGCAATTTATCAAAAGTTGAGCAAAAATTACATTTTGGGACTGAAATCTGTCTGTGTTTCATTTGACATTTTCTGGATTCTATTTTAATTACATTTTAATCATTTAAAAGCATGTAAAATCAATTGAATAAATATATATATATATATATATATATATATATATATATATATATA